CTTCAAGTAAGACCAAGATAAAGAAAAAAAAATCTTAATAGTAATGACAGGGATAAAAATATGTATTACATAGAATAGGGGATCAGCAAATTATAGCTTCCAGGTCAATCCAGTCTTTATTTTTCATGTAGTTTGCAACCTAAGAATAGTTTTCATATTTTTTGAGAGTTGAAAATAATATTCTGTGACAGAAACCAATCTGACTTTTTACATGTAAAGTTTGCTGACCCCAAGCATAGTGGAAACAATGATACAAATAATGTCTTGATTTCTCATTAGAAATAATACAGAAGATAATGGACCAATAATTTACTGGAAATTAAACAAAGAAAATAAAATAAAAAGGAAATCTAGAGTTCTACATCTAGTGAAAATAACCTTCAAAAACAAGGGAAAATGTAGATATTTTTAGATGAATAGACTTGAGAATATTCATTTCTAGCAGACCTGAACTATAAGAACTGTCAAAAGGCAATCTATTCAGGTTTAAGAAAAATGACACTAGATGGAAACTCAGATTTATGGTTAGGAATAGAACACCAGGAATGATAAATATGTGAATAAATGTAGATTATTGAAAAAAATTTCTCTTCTTTTTTTTTAAGAACACATATCGTCACTTCCACATCTAGCTATGACAGAGTAACAGGACTGAATTTTCTGTTTTATCTTAACTGAAAAAATTGGACAAAATATGATACAGTGGTTACCATGTGTTAGACAACAGACAGTACAGGACAGTGACTCTAAAGAAAAGAGAAACAAGTAAGGGAACCTTCAGTTGTTATAGTTGTTTAATATTATTATTTGACAAAGGTGTGTTGTTAGAGTAAAAACTTGAAAACATTGATGTGAGAAATTAAAGAAATTGTAGATAAATGTAGATATATTCTAAGCTCACGGGATGGAAAATAAATTTGATATCAAGTGTCCCCAAATTGATCTGTAGATTCAATGTATCTAAAATGACTTTTCAATGTATAGTACAAGGGGTGGAAATTCAGATAGAACCCAGTGGTCTCACCGAGTTAAGAAAATAAAGTTTAACATTCAGAAAGGTCAGGGAAAGTTAAGGTCACAGGTTAACATTATATAGAGGAGAAAGATATTCTAGATACCAGAAGAAGATTATCCTTAAACATTTGCCACATGACGGAGTGGCAAAACAATACTTTGGGTTCACAGAAATCTGTTGCTCCAGAAGCCAGAGTGGCAAACCTATACATAGAATTTGAAGTACTTAAGGATATCCTTAGTAGGGGAAGCAAATTAGGCATAGATGAATAACTTCTAGCTCATCTAATAAACCTTAAAAGAAAGTCTCAAATGAATTACAAATATTTTTAGGTTTCTGAGAAGCCTAAAAAAATCAAACATATTTAAAGGAATAAAATATTCACCCAAAATTACAAAGTTTGCTCAAGAAGGAATCAATAGTCTGAGTACTTTATATCTATTGTAAAAATTGATGTTGTAGTAATAAACTTTCCCACAAAGAAAATTCCAGGCCCAGAAGCTTCACTGGTAAATTCTACAAAATATGTAAAGAGGAAATAGCACCAATTTTACACTAACTCTTTTTGAAATGAGAAGTTTGGGGACATTACACAAATTACTAAATGAAACGGAATAAATTACAGGAAAAGAAAATAAAATTTTAGCAAATTGAATATAAATAATACATTTATATTTGATATAAATATAAATGTATTATTTATATTTATATCAAATATATATATGATATATTAACATGATGTATTTTTAAATACACCATGTTAATATATCATGACAAATGGGATTGCAAGGTTAGGCTAAACATTAAAAAATCAACATAATTCATTATGTTAAAAGACTACAAAATAAAAACGTATGTTCATCATAATATATGATAAAAAAGGATTGATCAAAATCCTAATCTATTCATGATTTTTAAAAAATATAGCAAACTAGGAATAGAACTACCACAATCTTATGAAGGTCATCTAGAGAAACCTATATAGCCTAAAACAAACTTAAAGATAAATGATGTAACATTTTCCCTGTAAGATCAAGAATTACATAGGGATACCATTTTTAAGTCAGCATTTTTTTGGAAGTTCTAGACATTGGCAAGAAAAATAGACATAAAGCATATATACCATATATATGTATAAGTATTATGTGTCAATTTTTAAAAATTTAAAAAGATGCTTAGTGTTATACGGCTACTAAAGAACAGAGACAGGAAAGAAAACAGAGATAAGAAACGAGGAGGTAAAATGATCTTTATACTCAGAGAGCATACTTGCCCATATCTTGAAGGAAATGCTAAGAAACATGAAATGACTATTAGAACTAATAATCAAGTTTAGTAAAATTATAGGATATAAGATTAATATAAAAATGATAATTTCTATATGCTAGCAGTGAAAAACTGAAATTAAAAATTTAAAAATATAATGTTTAATATTATTGACAAAGGTGTGTTGTTAGAGTAAAAACTAGAAAAACTGCTGAGAGAAATTAAAGAAATTCTAAATAAATGTAGATATATTCTATGTTCATGGGATAGAAAATAAATTTGTTAAGATATCAAGTCTCCTCAAATTGATCTATAGATTCAATGTATTTGCAATCAAAATTCCATAGTATATATTTTTAGAAACTGACAAAAAGATGAAAAAAAATTTATGAAAATTAAATGAATAATAATATCCAGAATGATTTTGTAAAAACAAAGTAAAGTTGAGGAATACTGCTTGACTTCAAGATAAATTATAGAGCTACAGTTATCAAGATAGTTTGGTATTGACATCATTAGCACAGAATAGAGTATAGATTTATATATATATATATATATATATATGGTCAATTGCTGTTTTAACTAATGTCCCAACACAATTAAAAGGGGAAAGGGTAATATTTTCAATTAATGGTGCTAAAACAATATGTAAATAAATTATCTTTGATGCTTACTTCATATAAACAAAAATTACTAAAAATGAACTGGAGATCTAAAGTTAACAGCTGCATGCATAAATTATAAAACCATAGACTATAATATTTTTCAAAGAAAATATGGAAGATAATCTGAGCTGAAACTGGTTTCAGAACAAAATTCTTAAATAGAGTTCAAAGTACATCAGAAAAAAATGATAAATTTTATTTTGCCAAATAACAAACCTTGACATTCAAAAATTCCTGTTATAAAATGAAGAAAGCTGCAGGTTTGGAGAGATTTTTATCTAGAATATAAAAATAACTCTTATAACTCAATAATAAGATAAAAAATGCAAATAAAAATGGCCAAAAAATTGAACATTCACTTCTTCATAAAAGAGAACATGCAATGATAAATAAGGACATGAAAAGAATATTTTCTTCTTTTCAGTGTGGGGTGATTGAGCCTAGGACCATGCTCAGGTTAGGTAAGTGCTCTACCACTGAGCTACAGCCCCAGCCTTGAAAAGCTCATCATCACTAGTTGTTAGAGAAACTAAAATAAAACCTAACTAAATAGTATAAAAATAAAAATTTACATCATTAAAAACAAGACTCAATCATAGATTGTTTAAAGATCTGTTAGTGAGGAAGTAGTATAACTTGTACGCTGGTAGGAATGTAAAGCTTTGGATAAGTGTTTTACAATTTCCTAAAATATGATACATCTTCCTAGCATACTATGGAAGCATTCCACTACCGGTTTTCCAACAAAGAGAAGTAAAATTCCATGTCCTTACAAGGTTTGTATATGTATGTTCACTGCAGCTTTATTTTGTAATAGTTAAATACTAGAAATAATGCAAAGGTCTATCAATAGATGAATTAATAAACTATTCTATCCTTACTCTGGACTCTTATCAGCATTGTGAAGAAATAAGCTATTAAGACATGAACATCACAAATGAACCTTAGAACAATATGCAGATTAAAAAATGTCATCCCAATATAGCAAACATTCTATGATTCTGTTATATTATATATATAGTATATTATATATATATATATATTTGCCATTATAAAATTATAGTGGCAAAAATAACATATTAGATTGCCTAGAGACTATGTGGGAGGAAGGAATTTTTTAAAAGCATGAGGAAATTTGGGAGTGATAGATACGTTTCCTATCCGAAGAGATGTGATGGGTTTTCAGTTTCTTTATATGTATGTCAAAACTCTTAAAGTTCCATACTTTGAATATATGAAGTATATTATACATCAACAGGCCTCAAAAAGTGAAAAAATTAATTATTTGAAACAAAACTCATAACACTAATAGAAGGCTGTTATTTGTTTACATCTACTATAGAGAGGACAACAATAGCCCAAAAGACAAGGAAAGTGCACATGTAGACCATACTGCTCCAAGTTTCTACATTTTAAGTGAAGCAATATAATATTAACTTCAGGTAGCATTTTGATAATTTAAGGATGCATTTTGTAATTATTAAACCATCTTAAAAATACAAAGTGGTAAAGGTAAATAGCCAATAGAAGAATTAAAATGGAATACTAAAAATATTCAATAAACCAAAAGAAGCAAGAAAAGGGGAATTGAAAAACAAAGAATGGATTCAATAAAATTGAAAACAAATAGGAACATAATAGAAATAAAACCAACTCTATCAATAATTATATTAAAGATAAATTAAGTATCATTTCTATTAAAAATTAAGATAGCATCAGACTAAATAAAAAACAAGTCTTAATCATAGTATTTTTTTACAAGAAATACACAAATCTATTAGAAAGACATTATCTTCCAATTAGTAATATAGCTAAAAGTGAGAATATATATAATGTACATAAAGACACAAAGTTCCTAAAAAACAATATAAAATATCATAACAGGTAAACGGAAAAAAGACTGAGATATGTTACTATTATAAAAACAATCTATGCATCAAATATTTAAAGACCTTCATAAAAATAACTTATTAGAAAAACTAGACTTATACATAATCTAATATGCTTGATTTTGGCTACCTTTTCCATTCTGCAGTTACCAAAATTTTACTTACTAGATATTATGTGTTCTTGACTACTTGCAATTCTTTCCTTTATTGATTTTTCAGTTGCTCTCTTGCTACCATGTATGGTTGTTGTGGAGAGGTCTTTTAGTTTCCAGTGAACCCAAAAGCCTTTTCGTGGTTTTAGTCCTGTTAATATGGAGTGTATATTTAGCCAAAGAAATTAGGATTTTGAAAAATACCTCTTAATTTGTCAAAGAATTTTGACTTACATATTTCATCCTCACAACAAAAATTTCTGCTTTTGTTCCTTTTAAGCTGTGTAGAATTATGTAAGCCATTTAACTACTCTAAACATCTGTATTTAAAATTGAAAATAATAAAATCCCTTTGGGCACTTCAGGATTAATTGAACTGTAATAAAGTGTGCAGTAAATAGAAACACACTCTACAAACACACTCTACAAACACACTCTACAAACATGATGTAATATTATTATTATCACTATTACTATTACCATACATATATACTTATATATACCATGCTCGTAAATACAGCCAATATTTTCCTCAGTAGTGGTTTTTCATTTAGGATTATTTACCAGATTCATTATCAAATTAGAATTTTCTAAGAGTTTTCAGCTACAGTTATCACATTTTTAGCATTATTAGCAGCATTTTGCTACTAGATAAAATATACAAAAGCCTTCAGTTTGATTCACTTGAGTGCTTTGTGATAGATTTCCTGTATTTAAAATTTTGGGTATTAATAGAAACTTTGATGCATAATAAAGTCAACAGATGCCATTGAAAGGATGGTTTATTATATGTAACTCCCAGGAGGAGAGGGGTATACCACAGGGGAAGCACTGGGACCAGTTAGGAAACAGAGGAAGAGAAGGAAACTATGGGCAAGAATCATTTTCCTTAGGAAGGAATGGGCAAGGTCAGGTAACCAGGCTTATGATAGTTATGATAGCTAGTTTGAATTATTTCAACAGGCTCTAGGTATAGGGACTGGTGCTATCTAATTGTCTGGTACCTGGTCCTAGGATGATTAGGACAGATAGTGCTTGGGATATGAGAGCCAATAAGAGGTGGTTATAGGGTGACCTTTGGATTGATTGGTTTATATCTGAGAAATATGTTCATAGGGAATTGTTTACTATTTGTTTTAGTCAGCTTTTTGCCACTGTGACTGAAGGACCCAACCAGAACAATTGTAGGGGAGGAAAAGTTTATATGAGGGCTCATGGTTTTAGAGGTCTCAATCCATAGAAGACTGGCTCCATTCATGGCAGAAGAGTGTGGCAGAGGAAACCAGCTCACAGGATGATCAGGAAGCAGAGAGAGAGACTCTACTCTCCAGTTACAAAATATATACCTCATAGCCACCCCCAAATGAACCACTTCCTCCAGCCAGAATAAAATAGACATTATTATTGCTGTATGTATATATGTGACTGCATGACCAATGTGATTCTGCAACTCGTACACTCAGAAAAATGAGAAATTATACCCCATCTGATTAAAATGTAAAATAAAATAAATAGCGAAAAAAAACCCAAAATATATACCTCATAGCCACACCCCAATTAACCACTTCCTCCAGCCACACCTCACCTACCTCTAGTTCCCATTCAGTTAATCCCATCAAGGATTAATTCATTAAGGCTGAAACCCAATCATTTCTCCCCAAAACCTTCTTGCATTGTCTCATGTAAGCTTTGGAGGGATACATCACATCTAAACTATGACACTATTTCTAGAAACTGGTTTACCACAGAAGGGCAAAACCCAAGGGTCAGAAAGTTCCATAATATGAAAAATGCCAATATACAGAAAATAAAAGACATGGTTAATATAATATAATGTTGAACAACACTTTCGTTTCTGGGCTAAAACCTTCTGGGAACTGATATAAAAAGGGAGATAACATATTGATTCAAATATTTTTGAAGGCTTTCTATGTGCTTGACATGAGATATAAAATTCTATTCAATTTAGTCCCCATTTTTTTCTATCAAGGCAGATGTGAAATTATTTAGCACATTGCCTGGTCCACAATAAGTTCTTAATATCAATTAACTTCTCTCACTCTTTTCCAAATTAACCTCTGGTTGAATTATGACAACATCTTGCATTATTTACAAATAAAATTTTCAAATTAATTTCTAAACATGGACTGCTCCAAAGAATAACATTAACATAGGGCCATGAGACCCAGATGAAGTATGTTATCTTTTAAAATTATACTTTAGTAAGATCAATTTCATAGGAAATTATCATCATGCAGGGTTTAGAAACAAGTGAAGTACAAATAAAAGAGTGAAATCTCCAAATTATCTTTGCAATTAACTGATAGTTTACATATATTTAAAATTTTAGCATTTATTTCCTTAACTTATAAAGACATATAGTTTAAAGAATCAAATATTACTAAACCCCAATAATTCCTCACACATCACCAACACCATATTCTGCTTCCTAAAATCAAACACTTTTATTTGGTTCATATCCATATTCTACCAAAAAAGAGTGATATTGGCATTTTAATTTTAGGCATTATCTATTGACTTCCAACTAGGAAAGAAGATTTTGCCATCTTTCACACTCTTATCCCATAATCACCATATACAAACTCACTTTATACACTTTACATCAAATGTTAAATATGTTACAATTTTAATAACAATTGTTATAATTTTTATTGTATGAATATTAGTATTCATACATTTTTATTATATGAATATCAGTATTCATTATATTAATGATATAAAAATCTTCTTCACAGCTGAGCCATGTAGTACACTGTGTTTACCTTTATTTTCTTGAGAAAATTTGTTTTCTCTAAAGTTAATAATTTTATGTTTATTTTTCTATGAACTTATCATCACTTCTATTGTGTTCCATATGAACTTTTATTTTCACTAGGCCTGGTACTCAATTATCATACTGGAACCTCTCTTTGTTTTAGTCAGTTATTCGTTCTGTGACTAAAAGACCTCACAAGCACAATTTTAGAGGAGGAATTTTATTTTATTTTAGAGCTCATGGTTTCAGAGGTCTCAGTCCATGGACAGTTGACTCTATTCCTCGGGGCTCAAGGTGATGCAGAACATCATGGTGGAAGACTGTGGCAGAGGGATGTGACTCACATGATGATCAGATCATATCTCCACTTGCCAGATACAAAATGGTACAAAGCCATGCCCCCAGTGACCCACCTCCTCCAGCCACACGCTATGTGCTTTCAGTAACCTTAGGGGATTAATTACTATCAGGAGATTAATTCACCTATTGGGGTAAGGCTCTCATACCCCAATCATTTTACCTCTAAACCTTCTTGCATTGTCTCACACATGAGATTTTGGGGGACACATCACATCCAAACCATAACACTCTTAAAGCTTTCTGTTGATTCCAATCTGAATTTTTTTTTCATAAAGACTGTTACACAACTCCCATATTGGGAACTCAGATCATCATTATTTTGTGCTCCATTGACCTCCATTTCTTGAATCCCATTTTTTCTTTCTTTATTCATTCTCTATGATTGTGAATGTTTCTCCAAAAGCTTCATAAGAAAAGATGTATGCAAGGAAACTATTCAAGGACATATACATCTGAAAATGTCTTCAGGTCATCCTGAAGATTTGGTTAGGTGGATTCTAACTTATTAATAATATTCACTTAGAATTATTAAGACATTGTTCCATTGTCATCTAAGTTTTCAGAGGTGCTAATGAGAGGGTTTATATCATCTGTCTCCTAATTTTTCTGTTGTTTGGAAGTATTTGACTTTATTCTTTTTTTGTGCTCAGGGTTGTAAGAATTCACTATTACACACTGTGATATCAGCTATTTTATTCATTCTCTTAATCTTTTTTAAACTGGAAACGCATGTGTTTTCCAGTATGAAAAAATTTTGGAAATTTTTAAAAATTATTTGTTCTTTATATATATATATATATATATATATAACAGTAGAGTGTATTTTGACATACATACACAGAGCATAATTTATTCTAATCTGGATCCCATTTTTGTGGTTGAACAAGATGTGGAATTTCACTGATGGTGTATTCAAAATGAACATAGGAAAGTTATATACAATTCATTCTACTGTCTTTCCTATTTCCATACCTCTTCCCTTCCCTTCATTCCCCTTTGTCTAATCCAATGAACTTCTTTTCTTCACTCCCCGGCTCCATTATTGTGTGTTAGCATCCATATATCAGAGAGAACATTTGGCCTTTGGTTTTTGGAGATTGGCTTATTTCACTTAGCATGATAGTCTTCAGTTCTATCCATTTACTAGAAAATACCATAATTAAATACTTCTTTGATTAATTCTTTGACTGATTTTTTGGAAATAATATAGAAAACTGAGATCTAAAGATGGAAAAATTGAAGGATCCGTTTCTCTCATCTGAGATTGATGTTTAGATCACCGATCTTCAGACCTTATTATTTTTTAAGAATATGCATTAAAGGCATATTTTTACAAATGTCTTTTTTCATCTCCCTCAGGTAAGCAAGACTTACATCTCATATCTACTTAAAGAAACGTATGTTTGTATCCTTAGATTTTGAGTTGGTTGCCCTGAAATCCTGATGGGTTTAAGAATAGTTTTGTATTTGCAGATTAGGGTGGTGATTTTTCTTTGTTTTGCTTTGGTTCTTGTTTTTTGGTGGAAGGGAAGAGTGTAGTCAGAAGGGCTCTTACATGTAGAAGAGGGAAGCAGAGCAGTCAGTGTCAGAGTGATGTGAGGTATAAAAAGATTTAATCAGACTGCTGGCTTTGAGACGGATGAGAGCTATGAGGCAAAGAATGCAGACAGCTTTAAGAAGCCTCAAAGAAGCAGACCCTTCCCTAAAACTTCTAAAAGGAACACAATCTTATCAACATTTTGATTTTAGTTTGCTGAGACTCATTTTGGACTTCTTACTCCACAAGTGTAAGATAATAAATTTGGATTTTTTTTAAATCCCTAAACAGTAATTTGCTATGGCAGCAATAGAAAACTAATACAATCTTTAATAGAACAGACAATATGATTGATATATGTACATTCCATGTATGTATTATATGTCAAAATACATTCTGCTGTCATGTATGACTTAAAAAATTTTAAAAAATCCTTCAAAAAGAAGAAAGAAAACTAATAAATCTTTGATGCTCTTCT